GACATTGACATCGAACTTTCGAGTCTTGCACAGCGTGCCCAATGACATCATGCCATTTTTAGATTAGGGGCCCGCAAACTTGTCGCACTATCGAAAGTCTCAACAAACATGCGCTCCACAAACGCCTCCTAACACGAAACACACCACACGAGGTTGAGGTGTTTTTCCCATCATGCATACCGTCGCTAGGTGCAACGCAGACGCCACTATTTTTGGGACTGGGCTTGCGCACTCACCACGACGGTCATGCCGACCGGATTCGCATTTGCGAACGGAACCTGATGTAATGTGGCGCTCGATTAAACAGCGAAGCCCACGTTACGTCAACTGCCAGCCTCGTAGGCCACGCTGCTTGTGGCGTCAGCGGGTGTGGCGTGCGGCTCCGGCACCCTGCATACCAAAGTTGAGGCTCAGCTTCGCGGACCCAAAAATGTCACCGCTCGCAGGTGGTTCCTGCATCACTAATGCCAAGGTGAATTCCACGTCGATGTGCTGGCTCTTTACAGGAGCAGTTGCGGTGAACGAATTCACGATCACAGACGTCTCAGTCAATGCAGAGCTCACCTGGGCAACGTGCCGACATGCGAAAACGAGGACAATGCATCAAGCCGCAATATCCATCACAGCATGCGCAACTGCAGTATACGAGGTACCTGCCTTGTTGTTCGACGATCAATGCCACTTACATCACAGAAGTTGTTAGCGGTCAAGGGGTCCACACGTTAGGCTCGGAGATTTGTGCCCACGCCGGTGCACGCCCGTCCGGGGGGCAACATCATTGCCCGAATGCAACCCACCACGGTGAGAAATACGAGGAGGTATGACCGAATCCATGAGCATTGTTGGTTGTTGCTCGAGCGTTCGACTAAGTGACGTTGAGATGGTAATGAAGATCTTCGCAGAGATATAAGTACGGCTCCAGCCACCACATCTTGTATCCATCATCCAAGCAGTCAATTTCCAAACACTTCACCTATCAACACCACCAAACCTCTCAAATCAACCAAAATGCAGTTCTTCACCCTCGCCGCTCTCTTCGGTGCCGCCGCCATGGCCGCACCCGCTCCCCAGACTTCCGACTGCCCTAACCCGGCTCACTGCCAGGGCCCACCAGACGTCAACAGCTACGAGAACGTCAATTTCAAGGACTACACCATCCGTAAGAACAACGGTACCCTCCAGTCCGTCTCATTCAAGATTGACGGCCGCAACGCCACCGACCTTTCCTGCGTCGGCGGACCCTACCCTACTCTCCCCGCTCCTATCGTCAACTGCGGCGACAGCAAGTACCGTTTCGCCATGACCAAGGACATCAACGGCGACTACCCCATCACTCTCTACCACGAGCTTGGCACTGCGTACGTACATCAAGTGACACTGACTTTGGACGATAGACTAACATATGCGAATAGTGTCGGCTTCTGGGGTCAGGGCGTTGTTCCCACCTACTGCCACGCCGGTGGCAACGGTCCTAACGACTTCGTCTGCTCACAGGTTGCCCAGTACACCTTGGTCATTGCTGCCTCTGGTTAAACATCGAATGAAACGATGACCGGGGTTTCTTTGTACATACATACACTTCACAAGTAATATAATACCAATCTGTACATTCATCAAACATTACGGGCTTAGTTGCGCAAAGCCGAATTTGCATTTGTGTGCGTGATGTCGTGGTTGTCGATAAGGCGAACAGCCACGGCATACGGAAGGCTTGATCATGGTGTCATTTTTATGACATCGTGTGAAGGAGAGACACAGCTTGTATCATGTATTGTGTGAGTCTCACCGCCATCACAAGTTCGGGTGACAAGTACTGTAATTGTTACAAGCTGCATTCATTGATTGACTCCTTCACAGGCCCATCAGGTTGAAGATGTCTTGCGACCAGCGCGCAAATGGACATAACCAGTGACCGACTGACTGACGGGTCCACAACTTCAAGCGTCAAGCATGTCGAACATGTATCGCAACTCGACACTTCATCAGAGGCTCCCCTCCTCAAAAGCCATCTCTGACGCTCCTACCACCCACATATCCCTTCTCTACAAACGAGAAACAATAATTGTACGAACACAAAATGAACAGCAGCAATTTTATCATCCTCCTAACGGCCACCTTTCCCGCCCTTGCCATATCCTCCGTCCTCTTCTCTTTAGCGACATATTTCCGGGCCCCCGAAGCACACCCGGAGACTCAAGATCTAGTGGATAACCTCGAAGATCTTGAGGATATTGTGCCATCGCTCGTTGAAGAAGTCAGAGCTTTGAGAAGAATGGTTGATCGAGAAAGGCAGAGAACAAGGAGGCTGGAAAACGAAGTAAGAGATATGGGAAGGCGACAGCAAAAATGCGAAGAGATAGCAGATGAGGCTGGCGATGAAGCAGAAATGGAAGATGATGGAGACGGAGAAGTGCAGAAGCGTCAAGAGGGGGAAACACCTGTACGAAAGCCGTTCGATGTCAACGAGTTTCTGGAAGAGCAGCGGGCCAGAGAGCTGGCTTGCCGTATGATACAGAGGTCGATGATAAACAGGACTCGTTGCTCCGGTGGATATCCCACCGACGGCATTCTTGATGAGCCGCTCCATGTTTCAAAGGTGTATGGCATACGGGGCGGAGAAGTCACTATACTGGACGATGAGGAAGCACTGGAAGCAGCCGCGGCCAATTCTTTACCACCCAGCCCTGAAGAAGATCCAACGTCATCGAGAGATGATCTGCGCATACTTACACAAGCTGTACGCGCCGGTGGAAACGTAGAGACTCGCGCTAGAATGCTAGTTGAGGAAGACGTGTCCACGCTCGTGACGAATGGCGACAGAAATATTCCCACAACGAATGAACATCCTCAAATATCTCGTCCTGATACTACCAACTACGACACCATCGTCATCACAGCCTCACCCATACGTCAGAGATTGAATAACCTCTACCCCTCCCCACGCGGCCCCCGTCCCACAAGGATAGTCATTCGAAATGATCCTGGAGGCTTGTGGCGCCGGACTGTCTTAACGGATGTTCTGACTGATATAACGCCACAACTAGGACTGAGAACCATGCGCACTATCATCGAGGAATATGAAAGATCGTTTTTGGATAATTCTTCGAGACGTGACGCAATAACGAATGGACATATTGGGCATGCCGCACCCACTGACGGTTGGTATGAAACCGAGCCGACTCGTTTAACGACCAACATGCCCGGTGGAGAAAGACATGCTCATCAGCCCAACGGCTACACTAACGGCTATACTCATACTCCCTCGACCAATGGCAACATCCAGTACCCTTCACTCCCAAACGGTCACGTAACCAACCATCTTCCTTCCAATGACAATCGTTTCTATGGCTACATCCACGAACCCACAAATGACGGCTCTCATGAAGAGGACTACGCCGACGCACGGGAAATTATCCGGCCACTCCTCGTCGCTCTGTACGGTCTGAGACCTTCCATTGGCTCTAGGGTCATCAGGGATATCGTGGTTAGATACACCATAGCTATGGGTTTGGGTTACACTGACCCGAACAATCACCGTCGTACGTTGTTGACTACGGCGGCTGTTCACCTTGAGGCTGTAAATGGGTTTGTCGATCACGAGGGCGTGGAAGATCTGAGTGAAGATGTGTGGATTCGTGAGCCTGATAGCGAGTATCGAACTGGTGATAGTCGCGGAAGCGGAAGAAGCACCAACGACAATAGAAACGGGACTGTAAACAGCTTCCACATCAACGCCGGCATCGTAACGCCAAACAACACCAGTGCCAACGGCGCCCCACACATCAATGGTCGATCCCACACCTCCAACGCCTACACCCAAACCCCATCCCCAGAGCGAGTTACCGCAGACCCAGAAGACATCCGACCGCGTCCCCGTCTCTCCACCCCCGAACTAAACGAAGCGATTGGGGACTGGAGCTCCGTCTCATACAATCTCGACGGCCCTACTCTACGCCTCCGTGCAATCCGCAGCGAAGGTGGAATAGATGAGGAAATCCCTCTCTGTCCGCACAGGGCAACGGAGGCTAGAACAAACGGGTACGCGACGGCGATACAAATTATTCCCCCAAGTGTTTATGCTAGGAATGGTACGAGGACGTCGTCAGAGTCTTCAACGCGCTCTTCTCGGAGCGCATCCTTAAGCGGAACTACGCTCGTCAACTCCGCCGTTGGAAGCACAAACGGCGACACTGTTCCCACTTCCAACCCGCCTACGAACGGTGAGCTACCAGAGAGCGTGGAGCTCCACCGTAACGGCGCTTACGAAACCCCTACTGCAACGCTTAGGCGGCGTCGCGATGCGAGGAACATGAGGAGATCCGCTAGGGAGAATCTGCTAGTGGAGAGGGGAAGTGTGGAAGAGGAAAGCACGGAAAATAGTGAAGAGAGTAGTGAAGATAGTATGGACGCGGAGATCGCGGAAGTGGAGGAGATGTGGCGGGAGATTCGTAGACAGAGGGGGACTATGGAGGAGGAGATGATGAGGCATGTGGCGGCGAGGGAGCGTGCGGTGCAGGCTCAGCAGACGAACGGGGCGGGAACGAATGGAGTTGAGAGTGAAGGGGGTGATGAGGCTTCTGGAGGTTCTGGGTCTGAGGCGAGGGAAAGGAGGGTTGATAGCGAGTAAGCGTCTGAACGACGAGCTGCACTATTGTTCGCTCAACGTTTCAGAAGACATTGATGAAGTCGCATGTTTCTGCATTCTGTAAAATGTAACCAACTATTCTGCGCTCGATAAATCCATACACAATCTATGACATCTTTAACAAAGCTGAGACATCGTATGACATTAGCACTTCGCCGAACGTTATTGATAAATCATGCTGGTGGCTATTCCTCGTACTTTCCTATACTCTTGTAATCGTTAAAGAACTGTAAGACCTGAGACAAGCTGTTCGCTGATAATATTGATCGTGCGCCGAGTGGTTGCTGAGACGTTCTTAGCCGCTCCGTCGTCGATGTACCACGGGTCGACGTCGAGTGTAGAACTCGATGGTGGCCTAAAAGTCGATGTATGGAGTCATTGAATGCTTCAAAACAGTCTGTACACGGATATTACTAACAGTGCCTTGCTGAATGCCCTCCTGGAAAGCCGCCTCAACATCGTGAGTGCGATGAGCCTGCGATACGAGCGAAACGGCGAACGCTTTGGCGATCAACCCAGACATGTGAGGTGTATCGCTTGTCCCCTGCTTCAGCTGAAACGAATCCACCAACGACGAAACCAGTCCTTGTATGTGCGCAAGGCTGACGCCGACACGGTGCATCTTGAAGGCTCGGCAGACCACGGCCATTGCTCGTGCCGTGCGGATGTTGACGACTGTATTTCTCTGGCGCAAGAGCGAGGAGACGTACTGTGTCTTTCGGCCGGATTGTATATCCCGCAAGTTGAGGATATCATCGCAAGCTTGGTTGTGACGTGATAAGACAGTGAGGTCGGAAAGCGGGAAGTGTGAGAGTACCGCTGCAGGTGAGACAGAAGCCCAAACCATTCGCTCTGGTACATATTAGTATAGACGCAGTATATAGGACTTTTCGGAAGCTCACCTGCATGGCCCTTGTATCTTGCCCACCACGCCTGGCCTTCCGCTTTTAGCATCCGCATGACATCTGCTGCTGGCAGAGTCTTGTGCGGTTCTGTGAGCAGTGGATGATCGAGCGCAACTACAGAAAACCACAATGATTAGCATGGGACCAATGTGATACATGGGGTAGGACTTCAACGTACTGACGGCGATCCTGGGCTCAAACATCGTAGAAGCTTTGACGAGAGCTTGCAAGAGACTCGTCGACACTGAGACAAAAGCCGAGGCGCCGCCACTCATGGACAAATGAAGGTTCGTCAAGAGCATCAGAGCCTGTTGACCTTGTCCGTCTGGGGAGAAAGGCGGTGGAAACTCGCCCCTCCAAATCGAGAAGGCTTGACTTACGAAGCCCGTCTCATCGTCGAACATTGTCCGGCTGTTTGCATCCCAAACGCGAAATCCAATCATATTCCTGCCAGGGGGAGCCCGCGGGGCTGACTGCGTAGGTGTGATAGGTGGTGTATGATAGCCATCAACGTCTGACCATGTTTCCTCATTGTCTTGCTCAGCCAGTGTCGTCCCGCCGAGCTGTAGAGCCTGCAGTGGTAGATCTTCCGGAGCCGGCCTGCGAAGGGCGCGTGCTTTCTCCTTTTCCCTCTTTAGCGCACGTCTAACTAGGGATTTATAATGTTTCCTCGTTTTAGGGGACTTGGCAGTTCTCGCCAATCCAGATGTGTAGCACACCTCGTTTGTGCGTCGTGACAAGTCAATTCCCGAATCATACGCAGTCTCTTCGATGATCGTGTGGATTTCGTCGTACTTGTGTTCGGGGTCGGGGAATGGGACTTTCATTACTCGATTGAACTCGGGGTACGCACGACCGCCATAAAGAATGAGATGGCTCTCGAACTGGTAACGTATAACGTTGAGCCTGAGGTTTTGGTCGGTGATGGCATTGAAGACCTTCGGGATAGTTGCCACGTTTGTGTCTTCGTACCATCGGTAGAGTATTGTTAATAGTTCTCGTTCTTTTTCATCCCAGTGGTGGGGAGGGTCTCGTTCCAGCCTTCGCAGTGCTGCCAGCGAAGTGAAGTCGCTAGGCTCAGAGACTTGTTGTACAATGTCATTGGTGTGGCGAAAGGCTGGCATACCGAAGTCCAGAGTCCTTCGTACTTGTGGCGTGGGTACGGTATTGCCAACGTTGAAGTGGTGGCTCGTCCTTGCAGGACTGCGAAGTACAGCGGGCAAATCTCTTTCTTCGTCCGATGGGCAGGGCGTCGACACTGGAATTGTAGCCTGAGAATCGTACGAAGAACAACGCTGCATGGATATGTCCGAAGCGGAGGTACCGACCGTTGACGACACAACTGCACTGATGTCTTCGCCAGGCTCGCTCTTGGTATATCCAGATGGCTCGAAAACACCCTCGATCGAAGGAAGCACCGAGTCTTGTTCGCTGTCATCGTAGTTGCTTGTTAGGGACGCTGTGAAGTTGTCAGTGCCTGCTTCACAACTCAGAAATGGAAAGATGCGTGGTAACTACTTACCTTGGATGTCAGCTTCGGTTACAGCCTGCAACTGCTTCGAGTTATGCGGCTCTTGCGGTGCTAGAGGTGTCGTGGCTGCGACTGCCGGCTCCCACAGCATTACACTGGCATCTGCTGCTCTCCAGACATGTCTTGTCATTGCGATGAAGTATGTATCTGCTGCTTCTGATGCAATGAATTGAACAAGAATCAGCGAACTAGCGTTTCTGGATGCGTTGTGCAAGGGTCGTATCCGGGTGAGGTTGGAGTAGAGAAGATGCTGTACTGTACGGCTTGAAGACTTTTCAACCCACCAGGCATCCAGCTCGAGGCGCGTCGGACTCAAGTCGCGTCTACGCGCAAGAGAAGCTTGTCGCGGCGCGTCCGACGTGTCATGAGCGCGGTTTCGCGTGGTGAGGTGAAAGAGGCGGCTCCATGCATCCTCCAGGCCAGTGAGCCAGCACGCTCACACATGCATAAAGGCAATAGTCGGGCATGTCAAAGAGGTCGTTGCTGAGTGTTTTCAGAACCGATTCAGTATGGCGAAGTGGGTGGGTAGAGCTCGGGTCGATGTTGCAGCTGAGTGTGAGGTTTGGTCGTTTTGCTTCATCGTTAGGAGTGAGGCTTGCCGGCATGGTCTTCATCATATCCTGGCTAGTCAGTACAGCGTCGGAAAATGCATGCCAAGGTCGAATCTCTGTGAGTGTACTCGGCTCAAGACGTTGAAGAGAAAGACGAGTGAAAATCGGTGGGTGCTGTGTGGTGCAATGGCTCGGTCGATAGCTGCACCTCACCGCTCGCTTTACCGTGTCGTGACGTTACCAGCATACTTGGAGGAACCGTGTAGGCGTGAACAAATAGAAGAGAAGGTCGTCGCTTCCCAGTCAAAACCCGCACGTGGGCGCCGGACCAGTGAGCGTATGTATCTTCTGACTGTGCCCCACTTTTGCTCTTCGATGGCATCGCCGCAACAGCAGGTGATAGACAAGAAGCAAAAAGTGAAGATACCTATAATTATTCAATCAATTGAAGAGCAGATTCCTTCCCACGCTACGTTATATTCGTTACTGGCGTCGAAGAGCTGATAAAAAAAGGATAGAAAAGCAGAATGCAAAGCGCACAACTTTTGGTGCAACAGAAGACTTTGGACGTAAACCATCCCTCTCGAACAAGTGGTATGCGAAAGTGTCGTTCGCTGCGCCGGCGCTATGCTTTGACAGTCAAAGTACGGATTCAAAGACAGATAGCCGAAAAGATTGGAGTTCCTGGTCCTGTTGCCGCATGATTCGTCCGACCATTCCAAAGAAGCGAATGCGTGAAATCGGCCTAGTCGGGTCCAGAAAAACCTGCAACGATACGGCACAGTCTGCGTTCGCACGACTGACGAAGATGGGGTGGAAGTGACCAGGTGACGGGTTGTTGGGTTGTCGCATAAGCGCCCGTCAATGGTGCTGTGGCTGCTGCTCCACATGCATATGCGGTCCGTAGACCGCATACGGGATCCAAAACGTGATCGCGCCTGCATATAATGATTCCAGGGCTGCAACACGGTTCGATGGATAATTGCTTTTCTTCTTACGCCCGCCTCACGCAACGCAACCCAACAGATGTTGTTGCGGCTTTATTACGCATAGCTTCGCTTCCTTTTCTGGTGGTTTCTTCGGCCGCTCATTTGTGGCCATGCTGCTCGGTGCAGATCTTCCTTACGACCCACTTCTCCCAGAACTTACGCTGCTGATTGGTGACCATGATTCCGTTGTCTTCTAAGACGTCGACGCCATCCATGTGTCCGTTGCAGTTGCACCATGTAATCGAGGCTGGGGTATCGGGCATGGGCGGGAAGGAAAGGGTGCCTGTAGAAGTCAGTATATGTCTCACATGCACTCCGTACAGCCAGAACTTACCACCCTGTTCAGGCTCGTCGGTCTCCGCGTCAGATTCTGTGTCAGCTATTGAACTGCCATCAGCGTCATTCCCGCTAGATGGATCTTCGTGTTCGTGTTCGTAATCGTAATGGCTTTCGTCGCTACTGTCGCTTCCAAGAGGATCGTCTTCTGGTACTTCGGCTCCCATAACGAACTGCTCGTCGAAGTGCCTGAAGATCGATGTACAAAGTCAGTAAATGTCTCACAATCGTTCGTACACGGATACTACTTGCTTCTCATATCCAATCCGCCTGAGGGATATCCAGTCAAGCCGTGAGAGCTCATCGCGTAGACAGGGAAGCACATCTTTCCACATACTACCCTCTTTCAAAAGTACATCACGGAGACGCAAACCACGCAGAGTATCTCTATGTCGTCGGGCAATGCCCAGAATTTCATCTGCGTTGAGACGCCAGGCTTGGATTCCAAAAGCTGCGAAGACGGAGATATCAGGTTAGTGTATGCCTCATGACGCTGAGACGCAAAACGTACCCTGCAGCTTTTCCCACTTGACGTTGTGGAAAAGCTCTTCTAGCCGCAATGTGAGTGGTCGGTACGAAGGAAAGCCAATATGCACGGCTTCAATATTCTTAGCGGCAGTAAACAATGCCTTGGACAGGGAGGTGAGATGTCGCATCCGAACGTCTAGGTCCGTGCTGTCATCGAAATGTAGCTCTAGACAGGTCAGGCGTTCGGCAAGGATTCCCAGGGTTGATGGCGGATTGCTAGCGGCACCTAGTACGCTCTGCGGGCTTAGCATGGGTGATGAGAATCGCGAACATGGTGATTCGGACTCAAGGAGGGCCTGAAGACCGAGGTCAAAGTTAGTAAATGCCTCCTATCAATCCGTACACGGATATTACTTGCTTGACCGATTGTTTTCGCGCTATGCAAGCATGCCGGTGGCCATGTCGGTACTAGACCGTTCAACTCGTTGTGACCCCGCATGTACGTGATTAACACGGCATCTTCCTGGTCCTGCAGGCGTAGGATCTGGATGTGCTGGAGTGAAGTGAATCGCTGGAGCGCGAAATGCAGGATATGTGCATCTTTCCTGCTGTTCAGAAGGCTGGTCTGCTCATTCACCTTTTTCTGGAATTTTTCGATATCAAGGAAGTTGAAACTCTCGGGCCGTGTGTGGAGGAGCTCCTGTATGCGCTCTCGTCCTTGATCGTAGAAAAATGGCACCATGTAACTGAACTTCTTCACACGGCCGGCAATGTGAGGCTGGCCAGCTATTCTCTCTAATCTTTCGAGTCCCTTTCGCGAGAAGCGTGTCGTAACGCGCGAGAACTGATGGATGACACCCTGCAGAGGCTCAGTACATGTCTCACGTGCATTTCGTACAGCGGTACTCACCAAATTGCTGAATCTTCTGCAAGTCAATCTACAAAGGTGAGGATACGACGTCAGTGTGTGTCTCACATGCATTCCGTACGGCTATACCACTTACCTAAAGCTCGCAATCGTCTCGGCATCGTCGGGCTCAGGTGGGAGGGGCAGCTTGAAAGATTCCTGCGACAGGTATGCGCGGCGCTCCAGACTTATTGGTTTTTCTGGTTCGCTCGCAACATATTCGAGGATGATGCGAAGAAGCTCGTCGGCGAGATCGAGGATACCCATTTTAAGTGGTCACATTCATGACGGCCGCTCCGAAGAAGCTCTGCTCAGGAAGCTTCCCAGCGCGATTTAGGAGCGCACCGCACAGCGGATATACTCTCAATGCAGGGCAGCAGCGTTCGGGCCGGATCGGGAGGAGGGAATGGCAGGTGGTAGTGAGCGTAGCGACAGCGGGACAGTCGAGTCAACTGACAACGTGGTGTTATCCGACAGCCGGCACCGATCTATGGGATAGCAAGCGAAGGACAGCCAGAGGGGCGTGGTCGGAGAAAGAAATGCATGACCTCTCTGCCAGCAGTCAGCTAAGCGTAGAGTTGCGAAGACGACCTGGGACTGGACACGCCGCCTGCAACTTGCAGCGTGCACCCCGGTACGCCCTCGCCCAAACCGCGATGCATTAAACTGCAACGGGCATAACGTCTCACATGATCACTAGCGTCTGCATTTACATAAGCAGGACGGTAAACATGCATGGCTCCTCCCGCGAAGAAGAGTCGAATGGCCGCTGTGGACTACTGCACAAATTCGCTAGGGCTGGCTGTTACGCCTGCGCTGATTCGAGGCCCAAAGGCCTGCTCCCCACAGCCCACTACACGAATTTCCATCCATGGATGGTCTCGATGCGTTGCCAACGAAGCATGCATCTGGAGGTCGGCTGATTGGCGTCACAAGCGCTTCAGATGCGTCATCCGGCCGATACCACTGCCGTGTACTTGGGATGGCGCAAACGCCATTGAAGCGATGGGCATCTCATGACGACACGGAGCTTTAGGAGCCTCATAGTGGGCTGAAACGGGTGTCTGTATGTCTCGCAATGTGCGTACGCTGTTGCAGTGCGTCATTTATCCTGCTCGGCAGGAGATGATAGCATGCAAGTTCCATTACAGCACACGAAGTACTGCGTGCAATATGTAAATAGTATACAAGCATCTGTGTAGACGCAAGCGACCCGAATTCGGTCATCGCACAAATTCGGGACGGAGAGGACATGGCCGCAATCCCGCTCGTACATGCGCCGATGACGATGCATGCGTGGAACTGCCGGTCAGATCGACGTGTTGCTTCACAAGCCTATACTTGCCCTGGTAACGTCATGCGGACCTGCGCGGTCGTGTAGCTATGGCGCACGCAGCTGTCGTAGATCGTCGCACAGAAAATGACACTAGATGACCTCCTGCCTCGTCGACTTGTCGACCTCTCGTGCCGACGAAAACTCTACTCACATATCGCCTGGGCCGGTTCCAGCACGGCAAACACTCAAAGACGTGTCTCGCCATCAACCCGCCCGGCCACGCCTATCGGGTCACGCTTTCGCTCTGGATTGAACACGTTCGCTTCGTTTTCGACGAATCTCAGTGCTGCTCAGCTTGCTCTGGAAGGTTTCATCAATGCTGTCTTCTTCGCTGGCATCGAGAACAGCGACCTCAAAAACTTCAAGGGGGTCCCATCCCTGCTCGCTGCGCTTGTTGTTCACTGCAGCACCTCCGCTCCTTGTCTCGAGCGACAGCACCAAGGCAGAGATGTCTTTGTCAGTGATGGTTGGGCCGAAAGGATCCCAAATCTCAACATATTTGATAGTGAGCCCAAAGGGATAGCTGACGTGGACGGCATGTCCGTTCGGGCCGGGTTCTTGGATCTCTTCAACACGGATGCGCTCGTCATCCGGGGGGCCAAAGTAGAGGAGGGATGCGAGAAAGTCGTGTGCTGATTGCTGACGCTCTTTCCAACTTTCGAGATGCTCCGCAAACTTCTTGTTCACTAGTAGAGCGTCCCCGGTGATTCCGACTGTAAGTACACTGGGCTTCGCATCGGAAGTGGTTGGCTGTCTCCTTCCGAGCATAAAGGCAAACATGGTAAGCAATAGCTTGTGGCCAATATGAAGGTGATCGAAAGTCCCCCCGACGGCAACAGAGAGGTGGTTGATTGATTTGTCTGTCTCATCGGCAAACGATGCTGGATCTGGGGCCTCTACACTGACAATACCACCGCGAACTTTGGACACGGGTATCTGGGCTTTCGACAGAGAGAGGAAGCTCTTCAGTACGCGCTCTCCTTCTTCGCTTTCGACCGAGTAGACGGTATCCCATGATCGCGAACTCCGTGCTAGCGTATGGATGTCTATTGCTGGCCCCTGGAGTTCCTGCTCTGGGGTGGAATCTGGTAGGGGCTTCGTCAGTTGGCCGTCCCTGGGATATGCGACTAGAACAACACGAGCATCAACGCCCTCTGAGTCTTCGGTATCGATAGCTTCCCTGCTCGCAGTGATGCAAATGAGTTTGTAGAGATCGGCTACTAGCTGCTGGGTGGTTGCGTAGTGCAGGCCGCGGGGCTCATCAAGATGACCATACAGATGCGGGCATGGTAATGCAATTTCTAGAAGTAGGGATTCATTGGATTTGCGCGGAGACCTGGCCAGCTCTTTCAAGACGGTGAACAAGGGCGAGTTGTAGGCAGCCTTGAGTGCTGCATAGGAGGGTGGTGAGGGCGCAGGCGGCAGCAGCAGCAGGGCACGGCGGACGGGTTTGTGTGCTGGCGGCATGTTGCGGGTGTCAATGAACCTCGAACCTGAAGTGGGAGACGGTGGTATTGAAGATCATGAATCATAACCATGGTGGAAGCGAGCCTGTGTCACATGGGGGTAACCCGAAGCAGCGTGAAGGGAGGGCGGAGGGGTGGTGGGGAACTTTTGCCGAGAAACAGCCGCGGGCGCCCAGCAAGTCGAGGCCAACCGCAGCGGAGCTCTTGACGATTGACTACGCGCCGCAACAGTCCCGAGTCTCTCTTTCCTCCGCCCGAGCCAGCGTACTCTGTAGAGCAATTGCAGGCGCCATGCCTTTCGGAAACCACCACCAGAATGCGCACAACGACCCGGCGCAGGGCATCTTTGCAGCGGCGTCGGCGCTGGGGAGTATGTACATGTCGGCCTTGGGCACCGCCGTGAACGTGGGCTGATGTGTATCTCGCAATTGTAGGCATAGGAGCGCCTGGAGGCAATCTGCGAGGGGCCACCCAGGGCACCACGCGCGCCGGCACCGACGCCTTCCTGCCCCAGAGCAGCGCGAACCAGCCGGCCCAGGGCGACGCCTACCTGCCCTCGACGGCACCGCCCCAGGCCAACTCGAGCTTCGACGCCCCGCGACGGCGCACCAACGAGGAGCTGCACATATCCTCTGGCGGCGGTCAGGTGCCCTCATCCGCGTCGGCGCAGCCCCAGCAGCAGCACCTGTACAGCTCGCCCGACAATTACCGCTCGGCGCCCAACATCAACATCGACCATGGAACCCCTCAGAACTCGCAGTATGGCTCCCCGGCAGTCCCCGGCGCCCTCCAGCCCGCGCAGCAGCCACAACAACAGCCGCCGGGGCCGCAGCAGCAACAGCGACCCGCGCCTGCCAACGCCTACACGGCGCCCGTCGTGCCTACCCAGACGCAGATAGCCAGCAACGCCCAGCAGTACACGCTGCCCACGCGCTCCAACACCATCAGCCAGCCCCAACATTCCCCTCACTCGGCCCATTCCTACTCGCGCTCGAGCCCAGCTGGCCTGGGCCCCGACCAGAAATACGTCCCCTTCTCCAACACCCCCGAGCAGAAACAGTACGCCGCCGGCACGCCCGCCCAGAAGTACTACCCCACGACTCCCTCGGGCGCCGCATCGCAGTCACCCCTGGGCCTCGCCGACATCAGGCCGCGCGCAAACTCGACCATGGACCACGAGGGCATGGGACACGGCAACACCATGGTCAGCGACGGCAACAAGGTGCCCTCCAACAGCAACTACCTCGCCCCGTGGAGCATCTACGCCTACGACTGGTGCAAATGGAACGTCCCGGGCGGCAACAGCGCCGGCAAGATGGCCGTCGGCAGCTATCTCGAGGACAACCACAACTTCATCCGCATTCTCGACACGCAGATAGCGCCCCAAGACACCTCCGCCCCGGGCGCGACACCCTACGGCCTCGAGTACAACGCAATCGCCGAAGCCACATGTTCCTTCCCCGTCACGCGCATACTATGGGAGCCGCCGTCGTCGCAGAAGCAGTCGACCGACCTCCTCGCAACGTCCGGCGACCATCTGCGGTTGTGGTCGCTGCCGCAAGCCTCCGGAAACAACATGAGCAACACCATCACGCGCTCGTCCTCCGTAAACACACGAGAGCCCCAGCTCCCTAAGCTCACGCCGCTCGCCCTCCTCTCCAACTCCAAGACCCCTGAACACACCGCACCGCTGACCTCCCTCGACTGGAATACCATGTCGCCCAAGCTCATCATCACCTCCAGCATAGACACGACCTGCACCATCTGGGACATACCCTCGCTTACCGCCAAGACCCAATTGATTGCCCACGACAAGGAGGTCTTCGATGTACGCTTCTGCGCCGGAAGTGTCGATGTCTTTGTCAGTTGTGGAGCCGACGGCAGTGTCCGCATGTTCGATCTCCGCAGTTTAGAGCACAGCACCATCATCTACGAGCCCTCAGACAAGGGCGGCGATAAAGACAAGGGTCAGTTTCTGTATCCACCTCCGACGCCAATTGCTAACAAGATCCAGGCTCGCCAACAGGCCGCATGTCGCCCACCAAAGCCCAGCAGACCATGTCGTACGCGCCCCCGCTCCTCCGTCTCGCCGCATCGCCCCACGACTCCCACCTCCTCGCTACCTTCGCCGCCGACTCAAACCTGATCCGCATTCTCGATGTTCGACAACCAGGCCAGGCCCTGCTCGAACTGCGCGGCCACTCCGCGTCCGTCAACAGCATAGAGTGGAACCCATCACGGAGAGGCATGCTCGCCTCTGGTGGAGACGACTCCCTCGTCCTCATCTGGGACCTGCTACACGCAAACAACGGCGCGACAATCAGCGGGGAACACGCTTCAACACAGCCTCCCGTCGTACAGCCCGCGACCACACATCCCGCAAACGGAGCCGCGGGCGCGCAGAATGTGCCCGTAGGCCAGAAGGGACCCTACGCCAGCTGGCGGTGCGACTACGAAGTCGGCAACATTAGCTGGGCACCTCAGAGCGCTCTGACAGGGCAAGGCGGCGAGTGGGTCGGCGTCGCTGGTGGACGTGGTGTTTGGGGCGTCAAGTTATGATGAGTCTCGATTCCGTGTTGATAACCTCAGTTCAGACTTCGTACGACCGCCATGTTTTGCCTTGGAATGCCAGCTGTATGAATGACGCATTGTTTCCGATTAGGGCAACGGGCGGGATTGATAAAAGTGTACAGCTCTTGTTATCTTGCTCTCTGAGCACAATAGTTTGGTGGTGGGGGCGTTAGTGGTGGGTTTTGCATGCATATAAGATACCTGGAAGTGAAAGACTTGTCTTTTCTACATGACGATTCTGGATGCGATGATGCTTTTCTAAGAATATCCCGTGGTCTCTTTCCATTCTTCGTACAATCGTTTTCTTGGTCAGTGTAGGTTTATCGTATGACGACCTCCACAACGACCTCGTTGCTCCATCCAGCCTTTGAATCAGTTTCCTTCCACGCCCGCACCGTATCGATCTCAAGCACGTTTTCGCATTCCTTGCTGACACTGACGCAATGTGCCGGAACAGGGCGACCGAACAACACGGCAAAGAAGTCGTTTTCGATGGAGCGCTTCGGGAGGTCTGAGACACATAGTGCTGTGACGTGTTACTAAATATCCAAACACAGCACCAAGGGAAGCAACACGGGGAATACGAAAGAGAAAAAAACATACCAAACCTCCCCAAAACCTTACAACTCGTCCAAACCCTCAGTCGCCCCGAACTGCGATCCACATACGCATCCGCACTAACAATCGCCGCCGCCCCCGTCATCTTACCCACAATCCCCAAGTTCGCAACACTCACTTTCCTTGGTCCCTTAGCCTCACTGTCCTCCCCTCTTTGCAGTTCAAACTCCATCAACGGGAACGCAGACAGGATCTCCCAGCCACGAACCGGAAGTTCGATATGCACAAACGCATCGTTAGTCGCTACACTCGTTGGAGCCGTGACTTGGCCGTCTGTGTGCGAGCGGATGATGTAGGTACCTTTTTCTGCGCCGGGGAAGGCGTCGAGGGCGATGAGTTCGGAGATGGGTTTGGGAGTGCAGTTGAAGACGCCGAGGATGGAGACGCCGGTGTGGGCCATGCCGACGTAGGTGGTTACTTTGAGGAGGACGGTGTCGTCGTATGCGTTGTAGGCTTGTGTTGTTTTACCCACAGTATGGGGGCGGAGGATAACCGTGTCGCCGCGTGGCGTCTTACCTGTCATCTGGTTGATGAGGTCGATGTCGTGCTGTCCGGGGACGTCGGTGATGTAGATGGGGCCGCCGGAGACACAGCGTGCGGCGGCGTGGAAGGCGGCGTAGTCGTGGCTCGTTTGGAACATGTCCCAATCGGGGAGTATGTTGAGGCATTGCGTTATGATGGAATTGTGGGCGTTGCAGAAGATGTGCCAGGGATGGCTTGCAGGTACCTCAGGGAAGAAGTCATCCGAGTTACGCAGCAGCATGCGTGGTTTGTTCGAGGGTAATTGCGAGTGGAAGATTAGGGGCGGGGCTTGTGACATGCAGGATATGGCGCGCGCGGAGAAGGAACGGAGTTGGGCGATGGACCAGGCGTCTTGGTAGGATTTGATTAGCTTGCGGCGGTCGTCGGAGTCGTGGAGTTCGTCGAGGAAGAATTGAGCGTCGGTTTTGACGGAGTCGATGCCGCAGGAAGAGAGGAATTCGTAGAAGTCTTTGTAGAAGCGGGAGACGTCTTCTTCGGCTACGACGGTGATCTTGCCACCGGATACGCCATCTTTGAGTTGGACGAGACTGGTTTTGTAGTCTTTTGCTATACGGCCTTCGGGTGCGATGCCACCCCAGTAGCCAAACATGGCATGCCATACAGCAATGTGGCGGATGTGGCTGTACTTCTCTCGTATGTCACTGACTGTGGCTTTGAGACCACGAGGGAAGCCTTTCTTCGTTGCCTCGAACTCTGTCATGGCGTTGTCGAATTGGTCGCCGCCTTCGGTGTTGAGTGACTGCCAGTTGTCGTCGATGATCAAGTTGCTGATATTGATTTCGTTCTTGCGTAGTGACTCCAGTGCCTCGAAGATTTTGTCTTCATTGAGCTTCTGGCCTAAGCCGTTCCAGGTGCAGTACGTCAAGCCATCATACCAGTTCTCCAGCCACTGCGGTTTGAAGTCGTCAATCAAGGCCTTTTCTTCTTCGCTGACCAGTCCTGCCGATACTTGGTATGCCATTACGAGTTTGCGAGCATAGTACATTGAAGCTGCTACTGCGTCGTCTAGCTTCATGCCCACTGCAGCAACGATACGCACGGTGCCATCTTTTTCGCTATCGTTCCTGGCGTTCATGACGACTCTGCCGTCGCCGTCATGATTGAGAGTTGTCAATACTTCATCCAACCCACTCACGGCGAGCAGTGCCAGATGGGTGCCATCATGACGCTCGAATGCGGCCAACATGGCATCCTTATCAGGTTGGAATCGGTCCTTGCCCTGTCTCGGTGCGAGCCATGGAGCCCATAGTCGTACTTCGGCGAACCAGC